CCTCCCTCTCTCTCTATTTCTTTCTCTCTCTCACACTCATAACAATAAATGGAACAAAACCCTCTGTCTCTCTATCTCTCTTTCTCTCTCTCTCTCTCTCTCTCTCTCTCTCTCTCTCTCTCTCTCTCTCTCTCTTGTGTTAACTCTTAGTCTCATTGATTAGGGTACCTTAGGGCTGCGTTCCCCGCGCCCATGCGGTAGACAATTTTGATTTCGACCACGACAGGCTTTGAATTTAAACCACTACTCCACCTGACGTTGGAAATTCGGGGGACCGGTAGCACAGGTCCATGAGGGCTACCAGTAGCACAGAGTGGAGAACCGGCAGAGTGGTGAATATGGAAAATTGGATGAATTTGCGCTATAAGCTATTTCACGGTTGAGAATATTTTTTTAATTTTTTAAAATATTTTTCCTGAAAAGATCATGACCAAATCTACGGACCCTCAAATTTTCAGACTTGTTTACGAGTCCTTCTGAGCGTGAAAAAACTTTGAAATAGGGGTGCTTTTCCCGTTGGCCCACAAATTGTCGTGTGCTAAAAATGGAAAAAGTGACGAATTGGCGTGGCATTTATTTCATGGTCCAAACGATTTTATTTTATTTTGTTGATACGTTTCCTGGAAAGATCATGACCTGGCCTACCCGATATCAAATTTTCAGATCTTTTCTCCAATTATTCTGCGTACGAAAAATCGCCAAAGTTGGCGCTCGAAAATTGCAAGATTGGACCCACCGGCGCCTTCCAGTCGGCGCCCCCCCTAAAAACCCGCCCTAACTCACCACAGGGCCTGCGTCCACACCGTTTCAGATTCGAAATTTCAAGGCCCTAATGCCACGGACAGGTACTGGTCCTGCACTTCCTTGAACTGCCTATTTCCCACGAATTGGACCCCCAACAAATACACCACCCTTCCAACTACCGCACCGACGAAAAATGTTCAATGTCTCAATGTCTCAGGGACATGAAACGCACCCCTGACGGGCTGCGAACACCAAGCTTGCCCAGGCACATCCGTGAGGATAATGGGGATTGAATCCACGACCTCCTGAATGCAACTTCTGTGCCTTACCAACTGAGTTAGGCCCGC